AAAAATAATATATATACTTGTTTTTTTCTGTAAATGAGTCTTAAATTAATACAGACTATTTACTTTCATTGTAATATTTGTACCTACTTAATAACATAATTTTCAGAATTTCGAGTTGTCAATTGTATTTAATATTACTAACAAAACAATTAATAATAATTAATAAACTTTTATTTAAATAATTTGGCGTTTTCATTAGTATATTAAGAAGGCATCATACCTACTTTGTGTTTTATCTTAAATTTTATAAAAATTGCCTATTATCAAACAAGAAAAATATAAAATTTTCAATATTATATCTGACGATCAACGAATAAATACTAAACACTAAATATGTCAGTTATAATATTTTGTTACGATTGTCCTACTGCGTATTATTACATAGCCTTGAAATTACATAATATGTTAATAATATAATCGCAAAATTGTCTAACTTTCTAACCATAAGAATAAATTGGGGGTGGGGGTTTATCATTATGTTTGTTGTCTCATTGGGTTTTTTTAATAATTTAATTTTAAGCGAATTCTGAGTATGTAAAATATTAAAATCGAATAACGCTCATCTTGCTCATAATTTAAACTTAAATATCTATAAAAAACAATTATCTTTAAACATTTTGAACTATTCATAAAGAATCTTGTATTAAATTTTTAAAACTTAGATACAAAAAAAAAAGATTTTATATATTTTTAACCACAAAATGCTTTGCATCTTTTTGTGATTTTGATGACTTTCGTTAAAATTCTAATTTAAAATGTATTTTCATGAAGATAAAAAAATAACTTTGGTGGGATTTTATATTATTTTTTCAAGAGTTTTGACCTAGGGATTATTTTTTATTGATATTTATATAATCGAAAATTGAATTTGCGTAAAAATTCCCGTTTTTCCAAATTATAAAAATAAGTACACGAAATTTTAAGTTTGATTTCTCTGAACTAAAAACTATATCCAATGTTAGGTTAGGTTAGGTAAAACCATTGCCTCTAGGTGCATTTTTTCTTAATCCGGCCCTGCGAATGACTACAACTTAAACAGCGTATATCTATAATAAAAATCATTTATCGTGTTTTACATGATATGTATAATATCAAATATTTTTTTAGTGCTGTAATTTTTTAGTACAGTTGAAAGTCTTAAATGTTAAAATTAAACATTTTACACATTTTTACAAATAAAATAACTTATATATTTTTGAATATTTAACGAATTTTGTAAGAAATTTGACTATTTAGTATATCGATATTACTCATATACGAAATTTAAATCATTATTCGAAAATAAACTAAAACAATTTTAAGATTTATAATATTTATGTATAACATACAAATAGTAAAAATATCTTTTAAATGTTGGCATTTCTAATAAATGCTTTTATGAACATTTTATAAGAATTACAATGTTACAGAGGTCTAGTTCTTTACAATTATTTGTATTTGAAAACCAATAAAATTCTAAAAAAGGTTTTGTCAAAAACTAGCTTATTTGTGTAAAAATGTTCACTTACCCCTAAATTTTCCTTTTTTCCCGATTATTTTAAAAGTACTAACTGAGATTTTTTCTGCTCAAAAAGTACTTAGTCTATAGATTCCATTTCTTTCAACAAAAAAAAACACACACATAGGTACACGATACATCATTATTCATTTGATTATAACACTAGTATTGAATCTATATTCTATTCAAATACAAAACGCTACCTAATATTTAAATTATTATAAAGATAATAAATATTTGTAGTTATTATGTAAACTGTGTACTTGTGAATGTAAAATAAGCGTTTGTGACGGAAATAAAATATCTGCATACATAATATGTATATAGTTAAATTATTGTTCTATAATCATTGTGTGTACTTATCTTTTTAAATATCCTATTACATTAAATGAACTATTTTTTTTTATAAAATATATGACACATCAAATTTGTCCAATTTATATAGGAAGGTATTAAATTGTATTGTTTAAGTATCAGTTTTTTAATACTCATATTATTTGAATCTGTTGCTAAGAAATGTATTAGTGTTACTTTTTATTATCATACATTCAATGTTACCATGTGTGCTTGATTAACCATCCTCTCCACCGCTAAACAAAAATTAATTTTACCAATGAAAAAAATATTTTTATCTATCGAAGGTGGTAGAGAGTAGAGAAGTGTCATTAACCGTAGGCCAAAACACATTAGAACTATTCAAAATACACAATCAGCTTTTCCATTTTAAAAACATTGTCAGCACCTGTAGGCATAGTCAAGCACTAAAAACTAATAGTTGTTCAAATTTACATAAACCACGAATTTGGTGAAAAAGTTATAGTTGAAAAAAAACTTATTTTTATAAACCAGTAATTAATTTTTAACAGTTTGTTCTGTAGGTATTATATTATTAAAATTTCAACACAGTTTCATAATTATTAATTATAAGTAAATAATTCAGTCTCCTGATGTTACTGATAGAAGCTGATTGGTAAAGGTATATGCAAGCATGTAATCAGAATTTTTTTAGAATGTTTTTAATTTAAATTTGAATACAACTTGGGGAGAGGAGTTCATACACTTTCCGTTTTAGTTAATTAATTAAAAATTAATAGTCTACAATAAAATTATTATCAAATATGAAATCGAATCATATCATATCATATTTGAAGCACTTAAACACGCTTAGTAAATATATTTTTGTATGAACACAGGCGAGGGGTTGTAACAAAACCAAAATAACTCCCCCCCCCCCATCCATTGGCTATGCTATTGAGTATAACTTTTTTTTTTATTTAAATTGAATATTTACTTTTAAATACTTCTAAATATGTATGTATCAATGTGTCATAATTAACTATACATTTATAAGTACTTATAATAAATTTATATTCTTTTAAAAATTAATAATTTGTAACATGTTATCGTATGAACGTTTAAGTATCTATAAAGATTTAAGAATTAAATCATTTTATTGATTATTTTATCTATTGTGCATAATAAACGGAGATTATAAATAAATATTTTATTAAAAAAAAAGTGTTATACTTCATATAAATAGAGTAAAGTTTATCCAAAATAGGAATTACAGGTGTAGAAAAAAGTAAAAAAATTTAAAAAGCAACCTCGTGACAAATTAATGTATGCGCCGCCACTGTTATGGAGTCGTATCACATCGCATACACTATTTGGTATATCGTATATATATTATACATTTGGTCGGTAACACGTGTTTGGTATAAATATAACGTATTAGATGATTCCGTTATTCGTTGTGTATTGCCTAAATAGTGCCTACAATGTCAACATTCATTATTTCAAAAAGTTTTAAATCTTTTGAAAATATTACTTTTACATAATTCTAAGTCGTTGGAAATCAACATTTAAAAAAAAAAAAATTATTTTATTTTTACAGTTTAATAATATTATAATTTATTAAGCTTTTACACAGGATTTTATATTTTAAAGATTTTAAAGTAGAATATTTTTTGGTGTATTTCGATAAATGAAAATCAAAATTTTGAACTTGTAATGTAGCTATAGTACCAGAATTAGTTTTAATTAATCTTTCATTGATTTAATAAATGTAAAAAAAAATTAATTTAAATAATTATTAAAAAGAAATCGTTCTTACTAGCAAAATATTCTTATAACATAAAAGTAGGTACTTAAAACTTAGATGATCGGAGTAGTGGACCAACATTTTTCATAGTATCCTTGGTAACATTCAACGCTACTTAACTAAATTTTAAATGTTTATAACCAATTAATTAATAAATTCTTATCCAAAATTCGATTATTATGTACCTATATCGAATCGCTTCGAACAATATTATGCTAGTGATGTCAAATTATGTAAAAAAAAAAATATTTTCAAAAAGTTAAGACACCAAAAATAATGATTGTATATTGTGTAGATGCTTAAGTGGATCACTTTGTATTGTTATAAATAATATACTTGTATACACTGTAAGTATTTGAATATTTATTCGATACTCGTGTGACACGCTGTAGCACAATAGGGGGTATCTTAATGGTTATTTATAAAAACAGGGTATCTCGTGATGTTGATTTCGTATTTCAACATTATAATATAGTACGCAGCTGCATCAGCTCCAAAGATTTAACTCAGATTTATGTAAATATTTTGTAATCTGAATTAATAATATTTATTAAGTATTTAAATATAGTAATGTCAGTTTTTATGCTTAGTTGAAATATAAGTAAACGAGTAAATACATCACGCAGTAGGAGGGCGTGAATAAACACTATAATATAGCTTGCAGTGGCATTCTGTAGGTTAGGTAGATACTTGTACATGACGCATAAGAGTGCTCCTCTAGACCCTAACTGGCTTAAAATATTTTTCTCAGTAAAATTTTATTGCTGTTTTTAAAATGTTTGTGTAGGTTTCAAAGGTAATTATTACCAAAATCTTTTTAGAATGTCACTATTTTTTTTTTTTAATATTTATTATAAAAGACATTTACAATCTGTAAACACATAAAAATAATAATAGGTACATAATATAATGAGTAAATAGGAAGACATATTATATACTATACTAAACGTGGAAAGCGTTAGGGAAGGGAACGTCCATCGACACCATAGAGTAATATACTCTATGATCGACACTACTTCCAATTTATGAACTTAGGAGGGGGGAAGTTATTATGAATACTAATTAATGTAATTACTAAATATTATTTAGTAAATTATGCGGTCATTTACGTTTGAGTAAATGTAATTACTTATCAATTAAATAAATCATTCCATGTATATAGAATAAGTGATAAATTGGTACGTCCCTAGTGGATAATATTATCAATGGTGGATATGAATTACAAACACTATGAGATGTAGTATACCTATGTTAACGGATAGGTATTAATATAAAGTACCAAAAATATAGGATATAATATACATCGATTATCGTCAAACGACTCTACAGACTTTAAACATAATGCTTTTTATGATAAAATAAAAATATGATTTTCTATATAAATATTTTTAAATTTTACAGGATTTGGTCTTTAATTAAACAAGTAGTTCATAATCGTGACATGACGTCGTCCTTACCTTACAGACAATTAGAAGATGATAACAATGCAGATGACCAATTGGAGCTCAATTCCACATCGGTAAGATTGAATACTATTCAAATTTTCAAATAAACTACAAATTATAGTGATGGCTTATACTGCGTAGTTACGATTTAAAATTCAAATAAAACGTAGTTAATGAACACATGTTTTCTTCCATGAATTGTTTTTCAAAAACAATCTTATCAACATCATAATATCATTATCATAATAATAATTAATAACAACAACAACACAATGTTATTGAAGTTAGACAATTTCTGAGTATTATTGTTATTGTATACTTACTATAACGTTGACGATTTGACATATTCAAAACATAAAATTCTACTGTCCTTGGTGATATTACAGTAAGTAGTAATAATATTAGTGGTAATTATGTAAATTCGATGGTTTCAGACTGAGATTAATGTTTATCATGTTGATGGTACGTATGAAACAGTTTCAGTAACCCCAAGTACAACATCCGAGCAAATATGTTCCCAAATAGCCAAAAAAGTTATCTGCCAAACTTACGACTGGTCAATTGTGGAAATTTGGAAAGACGAAGGGATAGGTAATTGTGTTTAATGCCTTACCTTTGTTTAATACAGTTGGTATAACTATTAATATGTTGTTCATTTTTGTTAAGAGAGAACATTAGAAAATCACGAATCTGTGTTATTATGTTACCAAAAAATGGGGCCCGAGAAAAACAGAATATTGGTTCTCCGTCTAAGCAACAAAATGTTTCACATGTTCAAGCATCCAGAAGTAAATTTTATTTCATGTATAGAGTGGACCACAAGAATTAAAATAAAATAAATAATTTTCTAGTCTAGTTTCTTGATTCTTAAAGCCTGTTTTGTTTATATATTATTCAACAATTTTAATTATTTATTTATTTATTTTTATAGGAATTTTCTCTCTATAGAACATGGGATCTTAATAAAAAAAAAGAAACTAAAGTCATACAGGTAATTTAATATTGTTAATATTAATCAATTAAACAAAAAACAAAAAAAATAAAGATTTTTTCTATTCATAAAATATGAATTTATAATAATAAAATAAAATTATTGATAACTTTCCTAAGTTGCATTTTATTAAAAAATTTCATAAGATATAGAAATATAGGTTGATAATTTAGTGATTTTCTAACCTAACCTAACCTAACCTTGGCAGAATATAGTAGTAGTATTTTAATTTGATGTAAAACAGTTTATCTCATTTAATTTAAATTGAAGTTAAATCCTAACTATAATGCTTAATCAATATAAAAGTTAAGTTGGGCTACTAACTAAGTTAGGTAGAAGTTGGTTTTAAAATTTACTAAATTTATAACTTTGTTAGAAGTTAGTTTGGTAAAAATACTTATTTAAGTTAGAAGTTAGTTTTTTTTAATTTAAAAAACTTGTTTTTTCAAATTTAATGTATTACATAAATTAGTTATTAAGTAGGTAGGTTACAAACTTGAACTATTGGAGATTAATGAACAATTAAATTGAACAAATTGATATTGATCAAATTTTCAAGTAGGTAGGTAATAAGTAATAACTTCATTTTCTGGAATATCAAATATTTCTCTTTAGAATATAGAAATTTAAACAAAATACATACAAACAGTATAACATAGCATATTTATCTGTAATATATATTTATTATTGACACAATTTAAATATAAAAATTCATACATAATTTATGCAATATAGCCTATATTTTCTGAATTGTCTATATAATATATTATATAGTTTTATCATAAAAGTAAAATAATATTTTTATCATAAAATTGAGAAATGGAAATATTTAATAATAATCATATTTATTAATAATATATTATTTGAAAAAAAAAACTACAAAAATAACTAGTTACTTATTAGTTTTAACGATTTAGATTCGATTATTTTACACATTAAATTCAACTAGTTAAGTTACACATTTAATAAGCATTAAAACTAGTTAAGTTTTTAATTAGTTGGTGCTCAGCTTTAGATAAATGTAGTATATTTTAAGTAGTATATACCAGGGGTGATCAACTTGTGGCGTTTGTCTTTGTCAGGTAAAGCTCACGTCTTATTTATAAAATATATATTTACTTATTATTGTTATAAATTAAAATTTTTTTGAAATGTACTAATATAAAATTATCAAATTATTTAAAATGTATCTATAAACATTTTAACCCAAGAGCTAAAATCATTGTATTTATTTGTGTGGCCTTCAAAAATTTTGATGTTGGCCATCCTTGATGTATACTATATGTCTATAATATAATTGTTGAACTTCCTCGTTATTAAATATCTTATAAATTATAATCTATGTTTTATTTAAATACTTTGATTTAAATTAATCTAACTAGTTTTACATTTATTGTACAAAATATAAAACACCATTAAAAATTAAACCATTTCTTTATTGACCTAGTATTTTATATATTTTAGCTATTCATAATTAGTCTAAAACTTATATGAAATTGAAGAACAACCCACTTTTTTTTGTTTATTATTCTAGCTCTACACCTATTGCATTGATTGGTCTTAATCAGAATGTTAATTATTTTGATCTTCAGCCAAGTTTAGAGTATCAATTGGAAGCCAAGTTGAATTATTTATTTAAAGTTTTATCTTTTGTAAATCTATTGATTCATTAAAATAATTTTTATTTTAAATGTAATTTGTATTATTTGAGATACGTATAAACATTTTTTCTTGTTATTATTAATAAAAAATAATAACTTAAATTCAAAATTTGAAGTAAATCAATTTTTTTAATACTTAGATAATAGTTTATAAAATATAATTGTGTTTAAAATTAACTAAAATTTTCCTTTCATAAAACCTTTATTACTTTTAACAATACTTTTTAATTATAAAAGGTTCATTAAGTGTTAAGTTATATTTTCTTGTTTTCTACGTGTATACTAAGTTACTATAAAATTTATCAAATAATAAAATTGTATGATTTCAAGATGTTTGGCATAATGATTATTTTTATTATTTGTCCATTAAATTGTGCATCAACACTCAATCATATTGAGTGGCTGTTTTTGATTTCAGAAATATTTTCAATTTTATCAACTAAGTATTTTTTAAATGAATGAATAAAAAAGATTCTTGTCAAATTTTTTTAAATAAACAAATTATTTGTTAATTTTTAATTTTGACATAACAACTTGATTATTATTTAAATTTATATATTTTTAGCTTAAATCTTAAATTATTTAAAAATGTTTGTAAAATATTGTCAAAAATCATAAATAAATAAAACAATAAAATTATTTTCAAAATATTAAATAAAGTGTAATAATTAATTAATTCAAGCATTTGTGTTACTATTCTGTAGTTAATAATACAATATTATTGTTTGTTTTATTTAGAAAGTTCTTAATGGTGACATTTGTCCATTACATTTTGGTCAAGTATGGGTTTATGATTGTAATAAAACAAAACCCTTTTGGGATATAACAGTTTTGTTACTCAAGGATAAAAATCTGTATCTCTCATCAAATGTAAGTGTTTCAAATTTCTAGTAGTTAACTAATAATCACAGGTACACATAGTAATTACAATATAATTTATACTTGGTTTATAATTTTTCAGCACAAAAACATAGTACCACTCATTAGGAGAGCCGGAATTAGCTGCTTTCTCAACAGTATTATGGTAAGATAATATATGAATTTATTTTTTAGTACTAGCTAAATAATAGAAAATTAAGTTTACTATGAATATTTTAAATTCATTTTTATTTTCATACTACCATTAATTTTATTTTAGTACTAGTTAGAAACCTGTCATTTTATTACGAATAACTATCATTCTGTAACTACAGATGATGTTTCTCAATGCCATTTAAATAATGAGATTTTAAATGAAAATAATAAAGTATAATTTATGAATGCAAAATAAATTCATTATGTCAAGATTTGGTTAAAGGATAAAATGTGTATAAGATAAAGTTATTTAATTTCTCATTTTCTTTTTAATGCTTTAAATTTATTTTACTTCATTTGTATTCAATATAATGAACTCGTTTAAATTTATAGGCTATGTACAACAATTATGTAACTAAAAAATTTACTATTCGAAATACCTAATATTTTAACTTAACTAAATAATTGCCAAATAATTTATTACTTAAATTATTATTTAATTATTAATTTAAGTTTATGTATATGGTAATTTTTTTAATTATATTAGTTATTATACATGATTTAAATTAGAAATATATCATTACTGAAATTTTAGGTATGCAATGATCAAAACCATTTGATTCTAATTTAATCTGTTGTAATATAATTTTGGTGTCCAGGTGTTTTTAAATCAATTCCAAATTATTGAATCATCAAATGTATTTACATATACTCAAGAGAATAAAAATAAATAAGTTTTATAAAGTTTAAATAGAAATTAAAAACTATTTAAATAAATACAATAAAAGAATATTGTTATTTATTAATGATATAGATAAAAATGTATTATGCTCCTCAAGCATAACACTAATTCTTATGTATTAATCACAATAACATAAGGTGGTATATAAACGTTATCTAAATAAATTTTCTTTAAAAATCTAAATAATTAAAAATATTATGCATTTTTTTGAATACTTAGTTAAATAAATAAATAAATAATTGGTATGCTTATATTTTCTTAAACTTTAAATTTTAAATTTAGTTAAAATATTACATAGTCTTTAAAAAACTTAACGTGTTTCTCTTGGTAGAGTACCAAGGTTTAGGTTTGCTAAGCCTCTATAAACCTTTGGTTATCATAGATAACAATTTTTTGCTTGATTAAATTGAAGCTTATAATTATTTATATAATACTAAATAATTACTAAATAATGTAACATTTCAAATTGAAATACTTACTTTCTCATTTAGGACAATTAAATCTAATATCTATTGTTATCTATTTTAAAATTTATAGTAAATTCTTTTAATTAAAAAAAAAAAAAAACTATAATTATTGTTTAAGTTATTTTAATTTTAACCTTGTTATTAATAAATTTACTCTTTACCTATGTATTCTATTATTAGTTATCATAAATCTTGCTTTTCAATTTCTTATTAGTACATAGCAGATAGTCTAGAAATTTATTCAAATATTTAAAAATGTATTTATTTTCTTTCTATGGATACTTAATATGTTATACTAGCTTATCATTATTATTTATTAATTTTACAATATTTCGATTAATATTTTATACTTTTATTGAATTTTATGGAGTTCAAGATGGGCTAATATTGCATATGTTTTATATTTACTTAATTAACTTATTTTTATATTTTATTTGTTATTTGTATACTTCCAAATTCAATTTGATTAATTTTCAACTAATAGAAAGCAAAAATTATTTATTCCAATATTAACAAGTTCAGTAATTTCCATTTATTATTTCATTTATGTTCAGATTCTACAATTTCTATTATAAACAACAATGGTGTAATTTTTGTTTTATTATAAATAATTTATGTGGAGTACCTTATTAGTAAGGCTAGGATTTATATGCAATAAAAAATTTTAAAATATGTATTTGGTTGATTAAAAATAATAAGTTATTACTATATAAACTTTTGTTAGGTAATACTAATGCTCTTAATGTATAATCCAAAACAATTATTACTTACTATTTATTATGCATCTTATCAGATTGTAATGACGTAAAGAAACTTATAATTCATATCTTTTAGAATATGTGTAGTTTAATATGAATTACTAATAAAATATAAGCTATAGCTTATCTATTTTTTTATAAGTAGATACATGTTATTGAATATGTTTCTCTTATTTAAATATATTATGATTTTTATCATATACATAAACTAATGTCTGCATAATTTGATTACTATTTTAATAAAACATAAGAATTAACAATTATATTTCCTCTAAAGCTCTAAACTTTTACTTAATATTTCATTTTCACTGCCTCATATTGTATTACCTTTCATTTACTTATTGTACTTTATATAGATTGTAAATTTTCATTAAAATAAAAAATTTAGAAAAAAAAATTTTTTTTCATCTAAAAAGTGCTAGTTTTATGATTTTAGTGTTGATGCACACAGTTGTCAAATTGTTAAAATTTGATTTGTTGGCATGTCATTCTTTTTTCGAACATTTATTTATAAATTTAGTATTAAAAAAAAAAAAAAAAAACATATTCAATATTTCTAGAGAAGATTTAAATGTAAATTGAAATATATAATGAACTATTGGACACCTGAACCTCATAAGTATTTTTGAAAAAAAAGTCTCAAAAATATTTTATATTTGTAGATTGATCCCCTTAAATTGCATAAACGTTATGTAATTGCAGTGATATTTCTTATGACTTTTGGTGATCCTGCTGATATATACAAATATAAACTCCAACGTACATCACTTTATAAAATTTAAAATGATTAGAAAATAGGAATTATTCTTCTATCTGGATCTCTTGACTGTGTAAGAAAAAAACCAATGTAAAATAGTGAAAAATAACTTGGGACCGTGCCACACGGTTTTTGGCCTTAAAAATTCGGTCAATTTTATCAGCATACAGTAATAATAATAATAATAGTAATAGTAATAATAAGTCTTCGGAATAGTTGGCAACAGCGTATGCGAACCAGAACCCAAACATAATTTTTGATTGACACATTGCTTATGGTGAGATGTTGCCAGCTTGCGCGTAAATTCGTGTACGGTATACTTCAATAATACGTAAAAGCGTGAACATATTCGATGCATTGAAAAACTAATAATAAATATTGTATTTTATTGAAAATGAGATATTGATAATTATTTGAATAAATTCGACAAATATGCATTACTGCAGCTTAGTTAAAATTGAAATAAAAATGATGATTGTTCATTTTTTTATAGTCGTTTTATCATTGCGTTAATATCAGGTTTTATAAAAATTATTTTAAAGGTGTCCTAACTCGTGTTATAAATTATTAGAAATGGCTAATTTTGGTTGTTATAAAGATTACAACTATGGAATAAAGAAAACCCGGGATATTTCTCTGCTGTATAGTAGGTGTTTGAAGTATACTTGTCATTTAGTAGGTCACTGCAGTAATGGATGTGTCAAATTAAATTCAGTGATAAATCATTGTATATAGTTTAATACGATTCTATGGAGAAATAACTGTCTATAAATCTATAAAATAGTTCTCAATTTCACAAATTTCGTCAAAATTTGAAATTCAAATATTTATAGAAAAAAATTTGATGTATTTGTGATAACAAAATCAATTTTGTCAAAACTGGTGATTTTTAGTCATTTTTTTTATCAGAAGCCTTTCTCCAAATTAAAGATTGGAGCTTTACTTCTACAATAAATAAAGTACCTTCAAACACAAAAAAAAAAAAACACTGTAGAATAAACACACACATTGCTCCCCTTTGAATTTTAAAAAATGTATATTTTTTATGTATTGGAACAAAATAATGGGTATAATATTATGTATTATTTCAATAGCTAAATAGCATGTAATAACAGATTCTGATTGATTGTTAATAACCATTGTGGTTTTCTTAACCTTGAATTTATATGCATTTTCATAAAAAATGTGAAATTTTAGTTCTGTGTTTTTTTTTGCATATAGGTAATTTTGCCGTATCGGCAACGACGTTTCGTGTGGTAAGCTCGAGAAAATAATAAAACCGTTCAATCCTTCAATAACTGTTCCTTTTGAATTCTTATGATGAATCCTATTTATAGTCTTTCCGCATGTAGCGAATAGATCTTCGCAAAGAATGAGTTATTACTTATTACTAGGGTTGGGATTTTATAGCGTTTAAAATTGCATAAATATGCGCTATAATATTACCTTAAATATAACTAATTATACGCTAAACATGTTATTTTTAATTTTTTTTTTGTCATATAATATTTTTATTATACAATCTATGAAACAGTTTACAATAAGCATAAGTAATGTAATTTTTTTTTCTATTAAATGGTCGTTGAAGATGTCAGGAGTGAAGAGGCCACCCTATTAGTAGCACTTCGTCGTCGTATGTAGTTGATTTTAGTTATCTAGTAGGTCACAACACCAGTTACGCTTTAATCGTCTACCGGAATCACCAGGGATGGTAATTTTTTTTTAATAGCATTTAATAGGTCGGTCCCGAGGGGGTTTGGATGGTTTTGCAGGCAGGAATGAAATTTTTATTCGAAGTTTTGGCGACTTTTTAAATGAGAGAGGTCGAAAGATTTTGATGGCGTGTGTGGTTAGTTACATAATTAGGAGTCTTAATGATTTGACGAAGACATTTAGATTGAAATGTTTGTATACGGTTTAGATTGAAGGGTTTGGCTGAGCCCCATAGTTGGATCTCGTATGTCTAAATGGGTTAACGCTAAACATATGCAATAAAAATAACAAAATATATAAAAAAAATGAAATCGTACAATATAAATCGACAAAAAAAAAACCCAAAAATCAGCAGATAACAAAAATTAAAACTAAATACCTAATACGAAATTATGGTAATACTATATTATTTCTATATATTATCGCTGTAATTTTACGGCGTTACATCAACTTAATCGATTTAATCTATACATTTACAATTTGCTTGGTAATTCGATTGACAAAAATCTAAAAATACGGTTTGCTAAAGTATAATTTCTTAAAATATGACCAATTTTGATTCTAAAACAGATA